TTCTGACCGGGGGGTTTCTGACCAGATGATACCGGATGGGTTCTGACTGTATGGGCTCCGACCGGATGGGCTCTGACCAGATGGGTTCTAACCGGACGGGTTCTAACCGGACGGCTGTTCTCTGCCCAGGCTGAAGAAGCTGTCGCTTAGCAACACCCAGGTGACGGACGGCGGGCTGGCCGCCCTGCGGGGGCTGCAGCAGCTGCAGGAGCTGTGCCTGGACCGCACCGCGGTCAGCAGCGGGGGGGCGGCCGCCCTCATCACCCGCCTGCCCCACCTGCAGGTGACCCCCCCCCCCCAGACATAAGGCTCAGCAGTTATACTGAGACTTAGACTTAGACTTCCTTTATTGCCATTGTACAAAAAACACAAGGTGAATCTTGACACCGAAATTGATTTCCTTGCTGATGTACAGGTTTACTTTTACCATCAGGTAGAAGTTCCCATTTGAATTTTTTATTTATGTTCTAGTGTTAGTGAAGAACCACATTTAAACAAGGATTAAATGCGGGGGTCCCAAAGGGGTCCCTGGGAGTTCTAACTGGTTTTCAGAATCCAATGTCCCATTAGATCATGAATCTATAAAAAAAACCTTTTCATTTGATGAGGATAGAACCAGGGGCCTAAAGTAAAAATGGTTGCTAAATTATTCTCTAACATATTTTCCACATTTTATCTTTGCTTGCTGAGCCCCTTTTAAGTTAACATCCTGACATTTTTCTCTACGATAAAGCATTTTAATGGGGAATTTAGGAGTTTTTCTACATGTTTTTTTTTCTTTTCTTTTTTTCTTCTAGGTAAAAATGGTCGCTAAATTATCCTTTTACATCTTTTCCACATTTTATCTTCATCTTGCTTTACTTGCTGAGCCTCTTTTGAGTTATCATGCCGATATTTTTCTCCCTGATAAAGCATTTTAATGGCGAATTTAGGAATTTTTCTTTTTGTCTCCTAGGTGTTGGGGTTAGCCAGCACGCAGGTGGGAGACTCGGTGGTGCGGAAGGGTCTGATCCACTGCCCTCAGCTCATCAAAGTGAACCTGAGCCGCACCCGGATCACAGACCACGGTACGGTTCAGCTCCTCCCTCAGGCCGGAGTCCACCGCAGCAAACAACTGAAGTCTCTTGCTTTCCCCGCAGGTCTGAAGTACCTGAAGCACATGCACCTGGCCCAGGTGAACCTGGACGGCACCGGGGTGACCCTGATGGGGATCGCCAGCCTGCTCTCTGCCACAAACATCAGCAGCATCCGGGCCAGCAACATCCGCTCCATCCCCCCCGACGAGGTCTCCGACGAGGAGTGAGCGGCCGGACGCGGTCCACCTGAGAGCCCGCCGGCTGATCCCCCCCCCCTTGGCTCCCGGGAAGAAAAAAAAAAACGCCGCCACCCGGTTGCCCCCGGAAACGGCTGAGGTGCAGCACTCCCTCCCCCCCCGACTGCTGCCGGGGCCACTAACCCAACAATCAGCCCGGGTTAAACCTTAAACGGGAGCTCGCGTTTAACTACTCCGAATATAAAGTTTACATCCAGCTTGTAGAATTAATCAGTACTTACCTGCAGCCTTCCAGTCGACTCTGGAAAAGCCCCCGGCGGCAGCGGCTTTTTCAGCTTTAACGCTTCGTGTGCGGGCTTGGGGGGGTCAGAGCTGGCACACACTCACTCCGGGTCGGAGCCTCACATCGCATGCATCTGCGGACCGGGACGCGAAACAAAAGCCAGAAAACGTCACGGCAACTAAATAGTTGAGAATGTTTGAGGGATGCGAAGGCAGCGTCTTCCACGTGTTATCGTTATCTGCATTTAAGAAACATTTTTTCCGTTCACCTTAAAGTCACCAAGTTGGGGATTGCCGTAGTTTATTTTTTTACTCGCTAGAAAAAAAATGTGATGGTTTATTTTTAAGTCACTACATTAGGGGAAAACACTCCTTTCGATCCACTGGAGGTCAATCTGAGACACCGGATCTTCCCATCTCTGTTAAATCACATTAAAGCGCTCACATCTGCTTTGCCTCCTGGTGACGCACTGTCCGTGTTTTAAAAGCGGCTGTCAGTTAACCCGAGGAAAGCCAGTGGTTTTTGGAGCAGAATCTGACGGTGGCTGTAACGTTGTTGGACCTAGGCAGCCATAAGGCTCAGGAAACAGGACCCAAAGAAACTTGTAATTGTTTCAGTTTTCTTCATTTGCAGAATTGTAAGTTTATTTTTCCTTGACTTTTGGATACAATTGTCAAACTAACATGAATAAAGGCTTCATGATTTAAGTGGGTTGTTTATGTTCCATTTATTCAGACAAACCTTTATTGCGTTACATTGTTAAATTATAAGGCAGACCTGCTTTTCTTACACTGGAAAAAAAAGAAGTCAACTTTAAATATCATAAAATATGACCTAAAAGCTGCTGCATACATGTTGAGATACAACAGAACATTTGGAGGAGAAAAAAAAAACTTTTCTATGAAGAAAGCACAATGGAATGCATTCCAAAATGCACCGAGGTGCTTTAGGTGAAAAATCTGCCAATCAGAGTGCAGCCCATGGTTGGTGGGGGGGGGGGGCTGGGTTGGGTTTAGCACTGTACAGCATCTGTCAAATTCAGTACAACATGTACAGGAGACAGGTCCTATAAGATGCATAAGGTTTCTGGTAACGGCGGTTCCTCAGAAGTGGCTCAGCGATGCACCTTTAGATGTCGTGTGCTTGTTTTTCAATCTTTGTTTTCAAGTGCTCCTTGTACGCCAGGATGTCCTTACTCCACTTTGTGATGGTTTGGTTCTCACACACCCAGATCTCCTGAGCCACCTGGGGATGGAGAGGTGAGATGATTAGAAAAGTGAGGACGGCCGCTTTTGGGTTCGTGTCCCTCTGTAATGATGGGGAAATACGTACCTGCTGGATTAGCCTGAAGTCGTGGCTGACCAGCATCATGCCGCCGTCAAACTCGTTGACGGCGTCGGCCAGAGCGTCGATGGTCTCGATGTCCAGGTGGTTGGTCGGCTCGTCCAGGAACAGCATGTGAGGGTTCTGCCAGGCCAGCCAGGCAAAACACACCCGGCACTTCTGACCGTCGGACAGGTTCCGGATCGGACTGACCTGGTGGGCGTCATTTCTGTTACTCAGCCGCTTGAGGATATTTTTAATACGTTTAGCATTTCTGGTTTGGCATTCTCATCCAACCTGCTGTTTTCCTGTCAGGCCGTAGCGACCGATGATCTTCCTCATCTCCTCCTTCTCTTTGATCTCAGGGTAGCACTTCATCATGTACTCCAGAGGAGACAGGTCCAGCTCCAGCTGCTCTGTTAGATGCTGAAAGCGGGAATGAAACCGTTATTGGACTGTAAACTAAGAGGACTGGCTCTGGCTAAAGGATGACGAGTTTTTGGGCTTTACCTGGTGATATCTGCCAATCTTTACGTGAGAATGTTTGCGAATCATGCCGTCAGTGGGGAGCAGCTACAAAAAAAGGGAAAAGCGAAAATCTGAATGGGTGATACGTTCACAAGGTGCCGGATAATGGGAGGAAATACTGTGCTAACCTCTCCCATGAGCAGTTTCAGCAGGGTGGATTTGCCCGCTCCGTTGGGTCCCACCAGAGCAACCCGAGTATCCAAGTCGATACCAAACTCCAGGTTTTTATAAATGTGTGGCTACAAGAAACATCAAACCAGTGACTTTCCAAACAAACGGGGGGGGAAAAAAAATAATTATGAAAGAGGAAAAAGAAAGCCACTTTGCACTCACCGTGTTGTCACTGTACTTAAAGCTCACATTCTGAACCATGATAACAGGAGGAGGAATCTTCCCACAGGGAGGAAAATAAAATGACAGAGTCTGGAGGACACAGGAAGACAGAGCGTTAACTTTGGCGCGCTTTCTCCAACCGAGAGCGGCTTCACAGCCTAAACAATACCGAGCGTTTACGGCTCTGAGCTCTGCGGGTGAGGTTGTACCTTGTCATTCACGACTTTTTCAGTCAAGCCCGACGCCACCATCTTCTGCAGCGTCTTCTCTTTGCTCTGTGCTTGTCGGGCCAGCTTTGCAGAGCCGTGACCAAACCTGGCAATGTAATTCTGGGAGAGGAATGAGTAATAGAAAATATATATATTAGGAAAATGTAACACTTCTGACTTATGGGGGAAAAAAAAAATAGACTTTACTCTGAATTTAGCTGGCTTTAAGAACAGGTGGTAATCACAAGGAAACCGATTTACAGAAATGTTCATGTATGTAAACGGGGGGTAAAAACTGTGAGCAGTAAAGGCCTCACGGTGTCCCTCCGTTACCTTCATGTGTGTTATCTGGTCCTGCTCCCAGTTGAAGCGCTTCATCTGGTTTTCTTCCAGCTCCTCTCTGGTCTTCACATACTGGTCATAGTTACCCTTAACACATTTAGATTTGCATGGTCATCCAACAGTACGCCGACAAAATTAGCAACAGCCCACTTCCAGTGTCCTTATTTAGAATGATGAAATTACAGATGGGAGACTTTGATTCAAGTTATTCTCCGAGGCCTTCCAATGCACAACACCAGTCTTCCCCCTCTGGCAGAGTATCTAAAACCTTAAGGGGGCAGAATTCTTACCGTGTAGTATTTCAGTTTCCTCTGATGAAGGTGGATTATGTTGGTGCACACACCATTCAGGAAGTCTTGAGAGTGCGAGATGAGCACAAGGATTCGCTTGAATCTGAAAACCAAGAGTTGGATCAATAAGCATTTCTGTGCCCACGCCTGCCTTCTTAAGAGATCTGGACTTACGATTTGAGCTCCTCCTCCAGCCACACACAGGCATCCAGGTCCAAATGGTTAGTGGGTTCATCCAGCAACAGCATGAAGGGCTTGATGAACAGAGCTCTGCAAAGAAAAAGCCATTAAGAGTTACAGGTCAAGAGCTTTTATGGAGATTTGTTCTCATTAAACTCAGCCTTTTTCAGAAATCATCTTAATATGATAGTCTAATAAAAACACATTTAGGTCAAGTTGAAAGCAGCTGAATAAATCAATGGAAGTTGAAACCACACCAAATGTAATTTAAGTCCCATTTTTCGATTTAAACTGGATTTAAACTGGCTGCAAATTCTAGATGCAAACTTTTAACCAATCGGGAGGCTGCCTTTCAACAATGGAGCCGTCTGCATTTACCTGGCCAGGGCCACACGCATCCTCCACCCTCCACTGAAGTCCTTCAGCTTCTTCTGCTGCATGGCGGCGGTGAAACCCAAACCGTGGAGGATTCGAGAGGCGCGCATCTCAGCTTTGTCTGCATCCAGCTCCTCCAGACGCTCGTACAGCTCCATCAGCTTCTCACACTCAGCTACGCGGGGGTAAACAAACGGGATCGTTTGGTTTTAGCCATCAAATGCAAACACGGATTAACATGAACTTTTTAACCAACTTTCTTTTTAAGATGGAGTCCCAGGAGGAGGAAACAAATTAAATCAACTCAGGTAAATGTCTTAAATTCTATTTTCTTTCATGCATAGTTGTTGAACTCTACAGCTAGGTTTGCACAGCTTTATGTAATAACTCACAGTCTTCATGAGCTAGCCTCTCTGCCTCCTTCTCAAGCATTATCCTCATTTCATCCACTTCCATCACACACTGGAGAGACGTCTTTTCACTGGGGGCCATCTCCCGGGTCAAGTGGTAAATGTCTATGTGCTCCGGAATGGGAATCTCACGATGCCCAATGGCTGACAGCAGCATGGATTTCCCTGACAGAGGAAAAATACACACAGAATAGCACTTAAGAAATGAGTAACGACAAGCTGGGAGTGTTGCCCATCGTAGTCGAGGCTCCTCTGCTGGTTGAAAAGAGCCAGTTACCTGTGCCGTTAAGGCCGATGAGGCCGTAACGTCTGCCTGAGTTGAGCTCCAGGCTGGTGTCGGCCAGCAGCTCCTGACCGTGGAAGGTGAGCGACAGGCTGCTGATGTGGACGTCGGTGCTGTTCGGGTGGGAGGCCAGCACCCCCGTCACCGCCCGCGCCTCCGTCTTCCGCAGCTCAAACTCATCGAGCTCCTTCGTCAGACTGGCAACACCTGTGAACAAGTAATATGCTTATTGTAAAGACGGTATCCAGATGAGGACATCTACAGGGAAGGAGGGCATCTAAAAAATGAGTAGTTTTCCTCTCACCGTTGCTCTCTGCGCCGTTTCTTTGGGTTTCGGGTTGTTCGCCTTCCCCGCCTTCCTCATTTAGGTCTTCAGGTTTCTTGGTGCGCTGACGGGCTTTGGCAGCCTCCTTCTTCTTCGCTGCCTTCTTTTTAGCCAAATCTGACGGCATGGTTATGCACAGCTGCTTAAGAGCACAATGAAAAGGAGACAAGAAAAGGGGGGGAAAAAAAAAATCACAATGATGTTTAGGGTCCAAAAAATAAAATCACTGACAAATGATCTGGTTCGTGTATTTCAAAATCCTTGGCTCGTTCACATAGTGCCATAAAGGTGTGAATCAGAGTGATGACCACACCGGTTACATAAACTAAAGGGGAACCCTTAGCACGTTTGCCGGCTCAATGCCGTGCCAGTAACCGAACTCACGTCCGGCTTAACTAATAAGGCCATCATTCACACGAAAACCCAACATTACCGAGGATAAAGCTTGATGTTGGCAGTGCCACCCAAACCCGGATTCGGGTGCCTTCCAGTTTTCTCAGAATATAACGCGTGATTAGCCCAGCTGTTAGCCGCTAACGGTAATGCCGCATTACGTTATCGGAACATTTTGTCACCAGAGCGACACGACCGATGTCAGTATCTAAAAAGCTGCTCCTATCGGTCATCATGACACATTTCACACGCGAAGGACACGTCGATTTCCACCACTCATTTTGTGGGTTAAATAGTTAGTTACGGTAATACCGTTAGCTTCAACTGAAAGGCCCGGCATGCTAAAGCTAACTTGCCACAAGGCCCAAGTAGCTTCGACAAAGTCCAAAAGCGGAATAATATTGTTTCATGGCGCGTAGTTATCTGGACAGCATCGTGTATAAGTGAGTCGTTTAGGTCGTAGCTGTTAGGTAGCGAGAATGTTGAATTTACCTGAGTATTAGAGCACTTGTATCCGGAGCACACCGACGTCTCGTGTTCACTTTTCGCCGGGTGAATGTAGCCGCTCGCCAAACCGCCAGACGAACCATATATGGCGAAGAAGGGCGTTGAAAACGTTGGGGCCCTCCTCTTCTCATGAGACTGCAGCAAGATATTCCTCCAAGCCCGGAACGGGAACTAATTTATAATAGTGAGATTGTGTCCGTATTTTTATAATATTTTTGTTAACTAAAAACACAGAAATGTTGTTTTCTAAAAAAAAAATTAAAAAAAGAAAGCCATTAGGTGTATGTATGTTGACCGTACCAAGCGTTAACCACAATCGTATAGTTTATAAATTTGCCTTCAAACTGTTTTTTTTTTAAATATATAACTGTACCTTGATGCAAAATTGCATCACACCGTAAAAATAATATATTTGCTCGTCAAGGCTCTGTGTGAAAGCGGTCCTTATCGGTGAGCCCAGGTCAGTTGGTAACCGATCGGAGGTGATGCTGCAGCATCGGTGAGGTCTGGTGATGATGAGGCTGTTCGACGTTACGGGGACGCCGTTTCCACACTGTGTGTGTGGCAACCATGTTTTGAGCAAGCGGACGAACGGAACCGAATGGGCGGAATATTAACGAATGACCTTGCCGTCTTTTTTTTTTTTTTTTACCTGTATCGACGAGGGAAAATGGGATCTTCCTGTCGGGGTTTGTGGAGGTGGTTCGTCGCGTCTGCATTAAAACAACGGACGAGATGCTAGCTCGCTAGCATGCTGTTTGATGCCCTTTCCTCCGTGACATTAGCGGGGATATCATTTCAGATGCGACAGGCAAAACTTTGTAGCCCGTTAACTTCGGTTGGTTTTAATGTCTGGTTTACGGTTGACTTGAAGGGCCAACTTTACTCGGCCTCCAGCTACTTGTTAGCTGACTTTCGAAGTAGCTATTAGCGTCAAGGCTAGCCGAAAATTAGTTCAGCTAATTAACATAACGGTAGCTCCAAAAGGGGGGCTAAGAGTCCAGAGTTATAGTACAGAGTGTACAGCCATTAACGGAATCATCTGAAAGCTGGTCTGTTAATCATACCATAATGTGAAGCTGCTGATACTTACATATTATTTTAAAGCAATAAAGTTGTCCATATCGTTAAAGCATCATAAAAATATCTATTATTTTAGAAAAAACTGCCAGCACATTTGCATTACGTCATTCAAGTCCTAGGTACCGTTCGAATAGTTTTTCGTTTATGAGCTTTTAAGGTTGAAGACCACATCAACAGAAACTGAAAATAAACTTTTAAAGTAACTTTCTATTGAATAGAAACTCATTTTGGTTTGAATTTACAAAGGTTTTTGGTTAACATGTTGTTATAGCAAGGGAGGGGGTCCCCCCCCCCCCCCATCCAGCTGTTTTTTTTGCCTCCTGCTGATGGGGAGTAGCTCTTTCCTGCCAAATATGCGCCTCTCATCGTTTCTGGCCGTGTTCAGGCCTGCTCTGCCCCTGATCCTGGGGCTGTCCCTGGGATGCAGCCTCAGCCTTTTAATGGTTTCCTGGACACAAGGGGACTCGGACGACCCCTGTAGGGACGAGCTGGGCAAAGGCCGGCTGTTCCTTGGCCGAGGAGATGGCTTCAGAGAGGGAAGGGACGGAGCCGGAGATGAAGATTTCCAGCCACGCATTGTCCCCTATCACAAGGACCCAAACAAGCCTCACAAGAAAGTCCTCAGGTGAGGAAGGTGCATGGTCTTTAGTCAGTTTCCGGTCCACAGCTCTAGAAGGTGGAAGGCTTTAGGATTTTATTCTGTAGGTATTTTGCTGCTCTCATTGTTTGCTCCGTTCTCCAGAACTCGATACATCCACACCGAGCTGGGAATCAGGGAGCGTCTGCTGGTGGGCGTGCTGACCTCCCGGGCCACCCTCAACACGCTGGCCGTGGCGGTCAACCGCACCGTGGCGCACCACTTCCACCGCACCTTCTTCTTCACGGGCCTGCGCAGCCCCAAGGTGCCCCACGGCATGACGGTGGTCGCCCACGGCGACGACCGGCCGGTCTGGCTGATGTACGAGACGGTGCGCCACCTCCACCAGCACTACGGCTCCGACTACGACTGGTTCCTGCTGGCCCAGGACGACACCTACATGCAGGCGGAGCGGCTGGCCGAGCTGGTGGGCCACCTGAGCGCCGGCCAGGACCTGTACATGGGCCGGGCCGAGGAGTTCATCGGAGGGGAGGAGAAGGCCCGCTACTGCCACGGCGGCTACGGCTACCTGCTGTCCCGCAGCCTGCTGGCCCGCCTGCAGCCGCACCTGGACACCTGCCGCAACGACATCCTCAGCGTGAGGCCCGACGAGTGGCTGGGCCGCTGCATCATCGACTACTTGGGTCTGAGCTGCGTGGAGGTGCACCAGGTAACACCACAACAGGTTTTTTAAATCACTTTAATGCTAATTTTGGATAGTCTTATTTTTTTTAAGAATGAAAATCCACCTTTTTTTGGATCTTTGACTCACAGGAGATGACTTATCGCTACTTTGAGCTGGGGAAAAACGCGGATCCGGAGCGCGAAGCCAGCGCCGAGTTTAAAAGCGCCTTCACAGTTCATCCGGTGTCTGAACCGAACCTCATGTACCGTCTGCACAAGCGCTTCAGCCGCATCGAGCTCGAATGGACATACCAGCAGATTCAGCAGCTCCAGGTTTGTATCAGCCCCCCTCCTCCTCCTCCTCCTCCTCGTGTTCCAGCATGTTTATTATCTAATGGGGCTGAATAGACACAGTTTGGTTTCTATCACACCCATTGCTCCCAAATGCTGCAAGGCCAAGTACAGTTATTGGGTTTTGTTTGGACATGAAGAGTTACATTCTCCAAATGCTTGAACTTAAAATGAAACTAAAACCCCACCGCTGTCAAACATGTCTGAGCACAGGTCAGATGTAGTTGGTTTTCATTTAGATTTTATTTTTCTGATGAGTCTTATTGGTATGTGTCTGGTTGTGTGTGTGTGCTCCAGATGCAGATCAGTAACCTGAGCGACCTGACACCGGAGGGTAAAGCCGGGATCACGTGGCCCGTGGGAATCAACCCCCCCTTCAAACCCAAAACGCGCTTCGAGGTCCTGAACTGGGACTACTTCACGGAGGAGCACATCTACTCGTGCGCGGACGGCTCGCCCAAGTGCGAGATGCGGGGCGCCGACCGGGCCGACGTGGGCGCCGTCCTGGAGGTGGCGGTGGAGCGCCTCAACCAGCTCTACCAGCCGCAGGTCCGCTTCCGCAAGCGCCGCCTGCTCAACGGCTACCGGCGCTTCGACCCCACGCGGGGCATGGAGTACATCCTGGACCTGGCCCTGGAGGCCTTCACCCAGAAGGGCCACAGCCAGGTGCTGGCCCGCCGCGTGCACCTGCTGCGGCCGCTCAGCGCGGTGGAGATCATCCCCATGCCCTACGTGACGGAGGCCACGCGGGTGCAGGTCATCCTGCCCGTCACCGCCCAGGACCAGGACTACGTGGGCAACTTCCTGGACACGTACGTGACCAACACCCTGGACACGCACGACAACGTGCTGCTCACCTTCCTCTTCATCTACGACCCCTTCGACGCGCAGCGCGTCAGCCAGAGCGACGTGTTCGCCGGCGTGAAGGCCATGATCGGCGAGGTGGAGAAGCGCTACGGCGACGTGAAGATCCCCTGGATCAGCGTGAAGACGGAGGTGCCCTCGCAGGTCAAGCTGATGGACATCATCTCCAAGAAGCACCCGGTGGACACGCTCTTCTTCCTGACCAGCGTGTGGACCGAGGTCAACGCCGACTTCCTGAACCGCTGCCGCATGAACTCCATCAGCAGCTGGCAGGTGTTCTTCCCCGTCCACTTCCAGGAGTTCAACCCGGCCGTGGTGTACCGCGAGCAGCCGCCCTCGGCCGCCGGCGCCCCCCCCCCCTTCGGCCCGGAGGCGCTGCGGGACGGCCGCTTCGACCGCCACGCCTTCGAGGAGGCCTGCTTCTACAACGCCGACTACATGAGCGCGCGCACCAAGATGGCCGCCGACGTGCTGGACAACGAGGAGCTGCTGGAGAGCGTGGAGGTGTACGACGTGTTCGTGCGCTACTCGGGGCTGCACGTGTTCCGGGCGGTGGAGCCGGCGCTGGTGCAGAAGTACGTGCGGCGGGCGTGCAACCCGCGCTTCAGCGAGGACGTCTACCACCGCTGCGTGCTCAGCAACCTGGAGAGCCTGGGCTCGCGCTCACACCTGGCCATGGCGCTGTTCGAGCAGGACCAGGCCAACAGCACGTAGAGCCGCCGGGGCCCCTGGTAGCCGCCCGAACTCAAACTGAACCCCCCAAATCCCCCCCAGCTCGCTACAGGAACTTCAGTGTCTGTAACTTTAAATGTGCGACGTCAGGACACCGATTAGTCCCATCCCCCGGAGGAGCTGTTACCTGTATCCCTGCTGTTCTTTACTCGTGTTTTGGCGTTGAGCGACAATATTTATATTCCGTATTTTTACGAATTCAGTGTCTCTGTTGCAGCACACGATCAAAGGCCTTTATTGTTAAGGATTATCAAGATAAAAAAAACCCGAGCCATAAGTCTTCCTTTGTGCAGATGTTGAAAATGATGCTGAAAACAAGCTGGAGCTATTGGCGGCCTTTTCTTTTATATATATATATATA